ATACTTTATTTTACAGTCATTAGAATTTAACGGACACCTTTGTATAATATATTCATTTTAAAAAGGACTTTTAATTTTACCGATTTGGAAAACATACTAATCATTTTTAATGGCAATGGGTGTAGTAACATTCAGCCAAAGACTGATCGAAGTTGTCATCAAAACAAATCTATTTTGTAAAGATCGATAAAATAAAACCTTTTTTTTTATTACACTGCGGTATTAATATCCACAACTACATTTACATTTTTACTACATGCAAATGTACTAAGACAAATATTATAGATGGTAGGCGACATCATAAAGTCTATTGCCATACATTTTTCCAAACACCTCCATAAACACATTATAAGGTGTTGTGATACACTAAAAATCTAAAATATGGTTTTAATATAAACATAACAAAAATAATAGGCTTTCTATAGTTAACGAGAGTTTAAAAATTCTCTCTAATCTGTGGCTCATTCACAAATAACACCCAGATTCTGTCACAGAGTACCTTATTATAACCGGAAATTCATAGATGATTTTAAAAGTTACTTAATTAAGCAGTAACTTTAAAAACAGGCAACTATCTATTAATCTACATGCTTTATATACCTAGTTTGCTATATAACTTATTTGTTTTTTATTATTTTAATACCTATGTACCTATTTGCAAACATAACCTCAAAATCATTCAGTGTATATGGTTCATAGAAGTTCTCAGGGGAGTCCGTCAATAATATTCTTTTCTACAGTAATTTATATATAGTCTTTAGGCCAAACATGTATGGAAGCTGAGCAATCTCCTTTATTTGATAGTTTTTGGATATTTCATGATAATGCATTTTGTAGAGTTTAAATGGATTACGGTTCGTGGGCATTAAGAAGAAGAATAATAAAAGAATACATGTGTTTAATTCTAAGTTGCACCAAAGTAAGCAAAGCAAATGTGTGTAGCTATTTTCTTTTGGTTTTTATTGAAACTTTAAATGCGATTACGTAAATGGTATAGGTATGGATTGGACGGTTAGCACAGTCTGATTAAATATTACTCTATTGATTACAATCTAGGAGAGGGAAATTGGGGAATATGATAGCTCATAATATTAGTTTCAGAAAGTCACACAGAACAGTGTAACATATTAATAATCAAGACATCGATGTCGCTGAAATGTCAAAGTCGTCGTGATAAACAGTAAGTTTAATCTATGTCTTTAACATTTATAAATAAATGTATCGCAATAATTTCGCGTGCCTATTCCACGGAATACATCGGGTGTAACGACACCAGCGTCATTTAGCAGAATGAGTGCTCATTACATAAGTTGCGATGCGTTGCCCTTGCACTGCGGTTTGGGCTCACTCGACTGTGGGAACAACTGTCCGGGGTAACTGTGTGGCGACGCCTTAATGAGCTGCTCCTATTTGTCCAACATTGGCACATAGAAGGAAGATAAAGCCTGAAATACAGACTTTAAGGTTTATTATGACTTGGCATCTGATTACTTCATAAGTTAAACATTAGTGGGAGGTTTCTATAGCTTTCTTGGTGTCACAGGAGCACGGCGGTTAATATAAAATGTGATTAAGTTTGTTTAATAGAGTTTGTTTTTATTTCAGTAATAAAAAGTGATTTAAATGCCATTTATGAAATACTTTCTTGCTGGTAGGTAAGTACTTATATTGGATTCAATTTTTATTTCTATCAAACGGAATTATAAATTTACGATGCGTTTAATTTTACCTAGTTTAAAGTTCTTAAAAAAATATATAACTTACCTATTTATATATTTTATAAGAATTAATTAAGCAGAAATTGTATAAGCTCGGAAATAAAATGTCAACTATTTTTAACATTCTTTATTGAGGTTATAAGAAATAAATGTCTAAGTTTTTTTTATCGGACAGAATGTTCTGTATTAGTTTGTTTTCAATAACGCGTATCTGAGCATGCTCTGTGTAAAAACTTTTTACTAAGTATCGTAATACATTGAAATTATTATTATTATTATCAAATATTACTATTACTTTGTTTCCTTTGTAAACAGCCGGAAGACAGCACGCGATAGGGGTACTCCCGCGCACCCATTTCTAATGCTCCAGTGATTCTCAGCCTACCATATCGCACCCGTCATAATCACGACATAATCGCAGCGTTTAAACGAAAATCGCCTCTATTCAATTAGCAACACAGACCTACAAATCAAATGTGTTAATCCGCTCCACTCGTTAAGATCGCTCTAAGTGAATGAACTGTGCAACACGCATATATTATTTGTTTAGTAACCTTAAGTTTTATTATGAAAAGATAAAATCCCTGCTCGTGTACATGTTAATGTCCATATGCATTTTTTTAAGCACTGGGACCAAGATGGATTTTTTGAAGTTATACTTCTTTAGGCGCGTTATGAAAAAATGATGAGAGAGAAATTTTAAGATGCGCGCGCATCACTGTAACCCAAAAAATTAACAGCATGAAGTTGGTCGCTAAAGCGACTTTACTTTTACTTTACTTTTTACTTTTGTGTTTACCGCACATTAAGAAAATCTACCAACAAAATAGAAATAGAATCTCTATTTTGTGGGTGCTAACGACTGCATTGTGAAGGCCTATCAAAAGTATTTATTGATCTGGAACAACGGAACCAAAGCGCGATTCAAGAGACTACAGCGCCATCTCTTGACCATTGGTGTAGTAGAACCAAAAACCACATCTTTATTTTTTGTAATAAAGTAACAGTTATAGGTATTCATATTTATAATATTTATCCACTTGTTTCTAGTTTGTATATTCGGAATGCGTGTTTGAGTTTCATACAAGTGCAAATCACATATGTTCTAATAAATTATATTCAGTAGCGATTTTAATTGAATATTTTGATTATTTATTTATTTTTTCAAATTAAAACTGAACTTTATTGACTGTGTCCTTTTCCAGACTTTTTATTAATTTATTGTAATTAATTATTTGCATGCAATTAAAAACTAATTTTAAACGATGCCAAAGAAGGATAACTTCTCACGCGCCTACATAAGTACACGCACCCATTTTTTTTAAATGCATGCACTTCGGGCACAGAACAATTGATTAAACATAAAATATAGTATAAAATGTAAATACGTCTACGTCATGCTGACAAAGTTACAGGCTAATGAGCGTATTACTTAATGCAACTTTGGACTAAAAAAAATATCTGTACGTTATAGTTTTTAAATAATTAATAAATAAAATAATCATAAAGTAAAGTAAACAATATACCAACAGATACAGTACAAAATAGAAGACTTAGGTACTTATGACATCATTAAATCAAAAGAGTTTCCAATAAAATAATATTATTGGCGAATATATTGTTTTAAACTTTCATGGTCACTAACATTATAGTAATATAAGTTACTAGCGGACCCGACAGACGTTGTCCTGTCTACACGTCTTTGTGAATCTAAACCATTCTCAGATCCCCTTGAACACACACAAAAAAATTCATCAAAATCGGTCCAGTCGTTTAAGAGAAGTTCAGTGACATACACACTCACAGAAGAATTATATATATAAAGATTTACGGGACTGTTGCCATGATCACGGAGTTACTCCGTGACGAAATATCGGAAACTCGCTAAAAACAAGGTACATGGTAACAATCCTGTAAATAACTTATATTACCATAATTATTGGCGAAGCCGTTAATTGCAACAAACTGAGTTTCATTTGATAGACTATCTGAGCCTGTGTTTTGGGAGATTATATCCTAGATGTCGTAAAGGATTTTACTATCGATTCACTTAAGTTTTGATGTAGGTACTAAATATCTTCAGCAGTAACCGTAAAAGGACCTGTGTAAATTTGTATGTACCGTAAACAGTTTACGGTGTAAGTACTTCTAATATTGACATATTAGATGTACTTACACGCACGGTATAATGTCGATGATATAACCTCCACAGTGGTACAATTAGTTAGTTAGTAATAAATAGTTAGGGTATGTTAAGGTTTCACGATGGAATTACGACACAACCAGAAGGTAGTGTTATTTGCACCAATCCCGCGACCCCCTAGAGTTAGTAACTCAATATATAGGTCAGTAACGATTGCCTTTATAATTGGGCCTACGGTTATATATATAATACGCTCCGTGTGGTATTGACGTGCGATTAGCGTGTTTTGTACTACTGTCAAAAAATAAAATTTGGATCTAATAAGAACCAAAATACCAATTTATAACACCCAGCTAAAACTATACTTCATGCTTCGTCCTCGAGATTAGCTTGATTAACACATCTAGTACACGTAGCACACGCCATTTCACACTATATTGAGTATTTATAAACTAAAAAGAATAAATTACTGGATTGAAAGAGCATTCAAGTCGCCCGGAAGAGCCTGAGTTCAATTAAATCATTCATAAACAATTTTGGTTTTTTAATTTTGTTTCTTTTCCTTTATTAAGAAAAACTAAATGTTTTAGAATGAAACTTTTATTACATCGCGATCGCTACAATTGTTCGTTCATCTTTGTTCATCATCATCTTTATGCATATCGCATAACAGTTCTGATTGTTATTAAAAAATCAGTCCTTATCAATAAGCAGCGTTGGTGGTTCAGTGGTAGAAAGCTCGCCTGCTAGGACCTGGTTCGAATCCCAGCCGAAGAAACCTTTTATATAATGATTTTAAAAGTTTCACCACGAGCACCACACCAACTATTTACCATCGTTAATTGTTTAAAATATATGCATCGTCTTATGTTATTTATGGTTAAATGACGCCCAAAGCCTATAGTCGCAATGGCATATAACGATATGCGTCGTTGTAATATATTAGATGATTGAGCATTTAATACGTCAGTTGACAAATGTAGGCGTGGCTCGGAAACGCCTTTCTAGCGATAATATGGGCGTTGCTGTATATATGTTTTAAAGTGTTTTTCGTATTGTCAATATCAAGTTTACAACTTCAACGGAAAAACATTGACACTTAGAATACAACTAAAAACTAAGAAATTATTTTGTTACAGGTTGTGATGGAGCGTCGTGAGGCTGCGATGTAGTTGTAAGCCAAACTTTTCATTCTAATTACCAAATTGCATAGTTAGTATCATACTCGTAATAATTCATATAAATATTTACTTATTCAATGTAGCTAATTTAGAGAGGTAGGGCATAGCGGATATCCTACAAGAATTGAAGCGGGGGATTTCCGCAGACGGGGGAAGTATCCTGCATCCTATAGAAGACCACTGTAAAATAACACTACCTTTTGATGATGTTGTGTTTCTGTCGGTGAGTTAAGTTCCAGGGCACAAAGAAGCTTGACTTTACTATTATCATCCGATAAAAAATACTTGATAAGTAAATCGATTATATAAGGAAACCAATTTGCAGTGATTGGAAAAAGACTATTTCAATAGGTCTCTTTTTTTGTCGTCGTTGTTCGAAAAAGCTAAGGCAGTTCGATGTTTCTCCATGCAACTATTTCAAACCTGTACCTAGCGCTGCTTTTCGAAAATGCAGTAGAAATTACCGTTTTTGTCTTGCACACAATAACGCGAGCGAGCTCTCTTTTACCTTATTTGTTATATAGCAAACGAAACGCAAAAAAATCCGTGCAGAATGCTTTCAAATAAGATTTAGATCTGCATAAGGATTTAATTTTTTTGCAAAATGCTTTTCATTACGAATAGAAGCTACAAAATAATGGTTGATGGTCTGCCTTTCGAAGCCTTTCCCCTACGCTAAATTGTGAAAAAAAACGCCGAGGACGTGTATCGTAACGGACGCAGAAAAAGTCCGAACATTTATCCTCCTAAAAATTTCAAAAAACGCATGCTATGGAAGTAAATATTATCAGATTACCTTGTGTAGTTATTAACATTGAAGTTTAAGAAAAGGTGAAGACGTTTTTAAAGAAAGTACTGGGTTTTTTTTTAATCCGATCGAGCGCGCAACATGGATTACAGTTTGCTGTGTGCGTGGCTGCGCCTGGTCACATGAATTCTATTTTTTTGGGGGGACTCCCGCGCATTTTTCTCTTCCTGTCCTTGGTTGATCGGATGACTTTTTGTACGCGGTATTTTTAATCCTTCGTGTGCGTAACTCGATGCAGTTGTAAGCGATCTATCTTGTTGGGCAAAAAGTCCGCGGAATTTTTTTCCCGCATCTGCGCAGGCTATTGTGGCCTACGCAGACAAAAGTTCCTGAATCGTGAAGAAAATGTCTTATATAGACTGTGATAATATGATGTGATCAGTTTAGATTTTCAGATTCAGGCTTATTGATTAGAACATCAATACTCGTATCTTGTAATAGATCTCATAATATCTATAGCTTATAGGACAGCAGCGTCACATCATTACGTGTAATGTTGAATCAAAGTGTCGATCGCGGTTCGCATTCTCGTCGCGTCCCCGGTGATAATCTACTCGATCGATCAACGCATTAGGGCTGTCGGTCGATATATTCATCATATTCCTAATAGATGTTATAGAGTTTATAGAAGGATGAAATAGTTCTTTTGTCAAATGTCAGTTAACATCGGTATGACAACATGTCATACCGATGTTAACTGAACAGAATTCAATGAAAGGTAACATAAAAAGAGGGAATGAAAGAGGGCAAGAAAAAGTCAAAAAAAGATCCCGCTCGAATAGGTGTTCCCATCTGAAGAATAAACTTTTATTTTATACCAGATAGCGGCGCGACTCAGCTTCGCTTTCGCGCAATCAAGAAAATTAGAAGTACAGGTATTTTTATATAAAAAACTATCCGTCTCCAACGTCCACCACTAAATATCATTATCTGGGGATTCCGAAACGAAACATGTACTTAATTGAAATGTATATTTTTACACTTGGAATGAATAATGGCATTTTTTTTAAATTTTATGAGTGCTCTCAGTAATAATTTTTAGTACCTATTTGATCGGGTAAATGAATATTGACTTAATTCCTAAAAAGTTCCACCCAAAAAATTAAGAGAATAATCTGTAATCGAAAATGTTTTATCGCTATCGGCTTTAATATACGCCGTTATGCGGAGACATGTCTGGTTCGAAGTATCCGCGGCGTTTGCGGTTGAATGCTGATGAAGAAGACACTTTACACTTTTTCCCTATTTAATCTGTCAAGCCGTGAAAGTACTCGAGTGTACTACGATCGAACCGTAGTTTGAATACAAAAAGCTTTCCTAAGTAGTGTGGTGATGCAAACACTTATTTTGTATGGAAGTTATCTGGATTTAGAATATTGGTAAATAATAGTGGTCTATTACTCTTCCTAGTTACCGAGACCCTGTTACGATATAAAGTTTCCGAATTTAAGTGTCAAAGCGCTTTAAAATGTCAGAACCCGCCAAGTTGTTATTGTATTTAAATTATACCAAAATCATGAAATAACCTAGCGCCATCTATAATAGTTTCTGGCAACTTTGATAGTGTATTGTTGTCGATATGATTGTTGCTGGTATTTTAATAATAAAAAGTCAGTCTGTCAAACTATCATCCGTGTTTTATTAATTTTTGACTCCACAATGAAGTTCTTCTACCCCCCACGACAACGGCTAACTAGAGCCGAGGTCCGAGTCTCAGAGACGCCCTCTAGTCGAGCCGACCCCCGCAGGTTCGAGTGGTCTAGAAGCTTCAGACGAAGAGGAGATATGCCATTCCACCTGAAATACCTCTAGAGGTACCAGCCCATTCTCGGCTTGAGGTCCCTTTAGGATCTCGCCGTCCCCAAACCCGGTGACGCTGTAAAGGTCATCTGCGGCCAACAGCATACACACTTAAAAAAAAGAAGAAGTTCTTCTTCTACAATGAGTGGCACTTAAGTTTTTGGCTGTATGCCAGCAGTAAAGTTACAAATATACGATTCATATGTTACATATTATGCAATTAAAAAATGATGGGTGGTAAGTACCAGTATACACTACATAGATTGAAACTATCCAGAATCGAAAATAAAACGAAAACTTCAATAACAGTATTTTACGGCCGCATTCATAAACGTCATTTTTAATTTATTAATTGAATAAGTCACTTTTGCACTTACTGTCGTTTTAACAAATAAAGTGATACAAAATAGGTATATACTTACATATAATTAAAAAAATAAAACTAGTTTTAACGGGTTAATGCACGAACTTTATTTATTTATTGACGTTTCGGGTCTGCATCGTCAGAATAAGCCAGTCATTATTCTGACGATGCAGACCTGAAAAGGCTGCGAAACGTCATTAATAAATAAAGTTCGTGCATTAACCCGTTAAAACCAGTTTTATTTAATGAGTGATGTGCGTGAAAACCTAAGAAACAAATAGGTACATATACCTCTAAATAAAGAATATTTCAATAACGTGTCTATATTTGAGCCTCTGTTAACCTTCAAGCAGCATTATTTTCCTGTTTACTATATCTATTTCGACTTTATTTATATTCTATTTATTTAAAATATTCTCATTTGATACATTCGCAATTAGACTACTAGCTTAATTATATTATAATTTTACATATATAAAAAATGTGATTTATTCATACTGTTAATCGAAACACCAACACATGAATGTAGTCTACCAAACTAACCAAATAAGTAGTACAATGTAATATCAAAACAGGGAAAAACCGGAAGACTTCCCCAACCGGGTAACGTCAAAACGTCAATTCGTTCATTGTGATTGGCATCTCATTCGAATGAATTGACGTTATGTTCATTCTAAATTTTAATATAATTATTTAAAAAAAGGTGGTTCAACTCTCTCACCTGGGCACGTCTTCCGGTTTTTTACTTCTCGTCCTTTAAATAAATAGATACGTAAGTGTGAACTTAATTCATCGCCGAGAATCAAAGTGCATCTGTGCCTGAAGAGATATTGACATTAATTCGCACTGTAAGTGGTGCATCATAATATTCGTCTTGACAGGAATACTCCTTCGTAACTAATAGGAACAGATTGCCGCTTCATTTTATGATATGTGGAACTAGTACGATACACTCGTAGTAAGAAAGATGGCTTCATATATATTTTGTAATAATTTAAGTATATGAATGCACAGGTCATTTTAAATGATACTTACCTATGCGTTCTGATTTTCATTCTTAATGTTTAAGCTTAAATGAATTTTTACATCATTGATGTGTAGATATGGAAGTGATGTACCTACCAAAATACTAGTACATCTTTATTTATTTGGATGCTGTATGCAAAGGGCGAATTTATACCTTGCATGTATGTAAACAAGTAGCCTAGGTTTTTGTGAACTTTACGAAAATTTAGAATTGTTTTACACAATGATTTGGTACGTATAATTTGAAGTTTATAATTTGAATATTTGAAGTAGACGATTACTTAATTATTAAGGGCCTTTACCTTGCCTAAGTTTATTACAAAGGTTCCTGATTACAAAATAATAATAATGAGTTATAATTATGTTAATACAAAAAATCTTAAATCACACATTTTCGAGACAAATAGCATAAGATAATCTGATAGAAATAATTGAAATGGAACTGTAACATGATTACATAATAGTTCAATCGATTGTGATCCGTATTCACTTAATAATAATGGTCAGCGTGGGTTGGCCCACGTTATGCTCGTGATAGGATCTAGTTCTGACAAGAACCATTATACAAGGGTTGTTATTGCGAGCCCATTATCATGAGCAATGATACGTCAAAATCTGCTTCGACTCAGACTTAGCGCATAGAGCAACACGACACTGCCGATGCGGCCAGTAGGACAGTAAGGAATACACAGCTTTCGCCTATATCGAGTTGGGTATACATATGATACTGTGTACAGGATTTGCCATTGTTATTGTCCGCGGTCATTTTTATCATACATTTACATCAAGTAACGCACACGACGAATTAAAATTTCCGCGTACAAAAAGTCCCCCGAACAACCGAAAACAATGAGAGACCGGACAGGGCAAGATAACGCGAGTGTCGCTACGCTACTCCCTTCTGTCCGTGTTGCTCTATGACTTAGCGACGTTAAACAGAGCACTAAAGATTATACATATGAATATATTTGGAAAGAAAGAAAGAATAAAAGAAA